TAACTGCCATAGGTATATATACTCTGGCGTGTTTTCCAATTGTATCCCTTCAACAGAAGGATCTTGTCCCATTCTTCTTCATGGAAGGTGATCGTGTAGCCGACAACATCGATGGTGTGATGGCAGCCCTCAACATAATTTATGATCCAGATTAGTGGAGACTGTTCATTGATTAATCGAAGATGAGTCTTAAAGCTGTTTTTCTGCATAATGGCAATGTTTTGCCATCAATTCCAAGTAGGTCATGCAGTCCATATGAAGGAAACCTATGACAACATGAAACAACTTTTGAGGTGCATAAACTATGACCAACATCAGTGGCAGCTTTGTGGCAATTTGCTTTCTTGCTTGGTCTGCAGACTGGATACACAAAGTAATGCTATTTTCTCTGCGAATGGGATAGTTGTGCGAGAGATTCCCACCACATCATGATAGATTGGCCACTCTGACAGTCATTGTAGCCTGGGAGGAAAAGTGTTGAGCATCCACCACTTGTTGAATCAAGGAAAATTTTGTTACCACCCTTACACATGAAGCTGGGTCTGATGAAGACCTTTGTCAAAGCCATGGACAAAACACAAGCATCTTTCAAGTACCTCCGTGGAAAATGTCCATGGTTAAGTAAAGCTAAGATAAAGGAAGGTGTCTTTTTTGGTCCTCAGATTCGTGAACTTCTTCGAGATTATGTATTTGACAGTGCACTGCATGACAAGGATAAAACGGTATGGAACGCCTTCCAGTTAGTGGCAACACATTTTCTCGGAAACAAGGCAGACAACTACAGGAAGTTAGTGTAAAACCTCCTCAAGGCATACAAAAGCCTTGGTTGCAACATGTCACTAAAGATACATTTTTTGCACTCCCATCTAGATGTTTTCCCAGTGAGCGACGAGCATGATGAGCGATTTCACCAGGACATTGCAACAATGGAGAAAAGCTATCAAGGCAAATGGAGCCCATCAATGCTTGCAGACTATTGCTGGACAGTGACAAGAGATGCTCCATTTAATGAATACAAGAGACAAGCTAAGAAGCGCCGAGTATACACTGAATAAGGACTGAACTATGTACTTATATATACATAATAGTGGTTTGTCTTTTGTTTAATAATACATTTTATTTATATAACCCTTTTGATGATTTTTAAAGTATTACATGAACAGGACAGGTGACATGTTATCATGTAAAGCAACCATGAACACATGAAAAGACAAAGGTTTACAATTTATGAGTAAAACTATTCTATCTACACAATATACATAGACGTAAAATGTTAAAACTTAAATATCTTGGAACAGTAGCCAATCAGTTGCTTTAATTGTCATATTTGAATTCAGCACATCAAAATCCATAATAAACAGCACATTTCATCTTTGAAGCAGACGACAAAAAAAATTGTACACCAGTTTAATAGATCAACGAAGTAGCTTATCATGTGGAAATATATAGCAGCCAAATACTCTAAACGCATGTTGATTCTAAATGTAGAGCAAAAAAGCGGAAACCCCAGATAAAAATCTACGTCACCACGGGGAGAACACACAAACTCCAAATATATAGCAGGTTTCAGGATCGGGATGGAACCTGCAACCTCATGTATACCAGGCAAGATAGTTAACAAGTTGGCCTCAGGGTTGAGAGGTATTTAAAGACGAATCTGAAGGGGGAAAAAGGGACTTGAAGGTTGGGCTGGTAGGTCCTCTGCACTTGTCTTATTATGCCCGAATGGAAATAAAGCTTTTGAGGGTTTATCAGTCTTATGTCTTTGGTTCCTCGAGTCCCTGGTTTGAGTGTTTTTAGAGTAGTGGCTGCAAATGTACCCAGCTCCAGAATGACCCCAGTTGACCAGTCATGGCAATTCACAGGTAACTCTTTGCATCATCGGAATACCAGAAAAAAAGCAGTAAACTTAGTTACTTCACCTGTCCTGAAACAAATTGTTTTATATTCTGCTAACATGACTGACAGATAACACCATGTGCGTCTGTAGGTGTTAATAAGTAATCTGAAATGTAATGGGACGACAGAGGCCATTGGTGGGTTCTTTAGGGGTTGAGTATAGATAAATATTTACAAAGGGTGTTTAGGCATGCAAGGTGGAGTCTCAATAGGAGTGTGGTGAGATATGTGCGGCAATTGTTTTTTTGACTTTCCAAAACTATTTTTTATTTAACCATATAAGGCCCACTGAGCTATATAACTATTTTTTTAGAAGCGACCTGGCCACAAATGATAGCTCAACAAAGTGGCTTATCATGTGGAAATTGTTTCTAAATATGGAGAGAAAAACCGGAGGACCCGGAGAAAAATCCACGTGACCATGGGGAGAACATGCAAACTCCAAATATGCAGGTGTCAGGGTCGGGATCGAACTCATAACCTCCTGTATACCCGGTAAGGTAGTTAACATCTTCCCACCGTGACGCTATTACTGGTGCATAGACCTCCACGACAGAGAGCTCTAGAGAGCCCCTCTATAGTGTAAATAGCCAACTCTTCCACACTGACCAGAAATTTGTTCAGAGACGGAAATACCCACACCTTACCCACAATACACAGAATCAGATTATGCATTTATACTGCAGGAGGAATCCGATGAGCCATACAGTTCTTATTCACAGATGTCCAGTCGGGGCAGGTCAGAACGTTATAACACACGACCAGCTGATGAACTAACTTATAATTATTTCATATGGCTGACACATAAACTAAACAATTAGATGTTCAATTTGAGGGCAGCTAGCGACTTAATTTCATTGTCTTGAGTGTTTGTGGAGTATTGGCGTGCCTCGTTCCAACTTGTATTCAGGACAGTGCACCATTGTGTGTTATCTTAGCAGGTTTAGGTAACCATGTTCGCCGGCAGAAGTATACTTGATTTTCCATATGTGCGTGAAGTATCAACATCTCCCTTGGCCTGTAGGGATATTCGGTAGTCCTGAGAGTCAGGGTAACGGCATGAACTGTAGGGCTCCAGAAAATATGGACATTCCGTTTAAGCTACATGTATATAAGTTAGATATGGAAATTTCTCACCGGGATATGAGTACAGTGCTCCATACAGAAATATGCCAATGCGATTGAAGAAATCGCAGTGCCTAAGCATCTGCTCGCCAACTCGGGCCGGCCTGTTTTTGGACGTGTCTTCGTTTTTCAGTGACCCTCTTTTTCAGATGGTCTTGGAAGGTGCACGTGCCACAGCAAGATACGTTCCGTTCGATATGGGAACTTCTGTTTGTCTAAATGAAATGCGGACGTCGCATCATTTTCGGGTTTGGCTTTAGGTGCCACCTCTGAAAATATTCCGCCATGATGTTTCGATCTGATGCGAAGGTTGCTTCAACTTTGGTTGTGGTGCGAGCTTGAGTATGTACATAGGGTCAGGTCGTCCGCTTATGAACATTTCCTGAAAGCTAAAGCAGGCATGTGTAGACGTTTAAAAGTGTCGGGGCAAGCAATGAGCGCTGGAGGAGCCTATTATTTAGGACTTGGGGCGAATTAACTTTGTTGCATAGGTGGACGTGGATTCTTCGGAGGATGGATTAATGTTTGTGTACTCATACTGCTGGTTTAACAGCAGTATGAGTACACCAAAGAGGGTTATGGATTGTTTAAAAACAGTAATTCTTTGGTATCCTATAATCTTGGGTTCCATCTGTCTTCCATTTACACTTGCCACTCTATCTCCCACGGTTAATAATAAGTGTCAATATGAAACTAAATTCTAAAGCACCTGCATTCGTGGTTTTATTTAAATTGGGGAAAATCCCTAGCTTTCCGAACGATTACATTTATTTTTATTTGTATCAATTTCGATAGATTCTCTAATTAGTCTTGACCAGGCGTAACTAGTTTTGCACAGAATTTCAGCATTATCAAAATCAATTGAGTGTCCTTGTTGGCACGCTTGTTCTGCCAATACCGACAGTTGTGTTTGGGAGTATTTAATATGCTTTTGTTGTTCTTTTAGTCTCGTGCTGATCATTCGTCCTGTCTGCCCAACATTAATTGCTGTTGTTTCCACAACAGCAATTATTGCTGTTGTTTCCACAACAACAATTAATCCGGTACACACCTTCTGTTGTTAGCTTCGGTAATAGATCTTTATTACCAGATATTAATGTTTATTTGATGTACCGTGGCAAATCTGACTCGGATGTTCTGTTTTTCCAAATATCTGGCTAGTTTATCAGTTACTCCCACAATGTACGGTATTTTAATAGTTGTAATTACTTGGTAAGTTTCAACGCTCGTGTTATTTGATTTGGTTTTAGCATTTAGTGCCCTGTTGATTTGTGTATCATTCTAACCGTTCAATTTAACATGTTTAATTTCACTTCTCAGACTATCACCATCTGACACTTTCTTAGCCCGATGTATGAGCGTTTTGATGAGAGAGGATTTATGTGTGGGGTGATAGTGGGACTGCATTCAGAGTGGCCTTAGTATGCGTTTTGTTTCAGTAAACGCTGTGTATTATCTTACCATTTCGATCACGCCCGAGCAGAATATCCAGTAATGGGAGAGTTATGTCAGCTTCAACTTTCATGGTAAACTGGATGGAAGGGTTTTGCGAGTTGAGATTATTTAGAAATTCGTTAAGGGTATCTTTGCTGTGTGGCCAGACCACCAATGTGCCATCCACATATCTAAACCAAGCAGAGAGTTTTAGTGTGCCTGAAGCTATTTCTTTTGCTTATTTAGACCAAAACTGTTGCGAATACCATTTTGATTGGGTCGTTTAATTTTAAAGAATCCTCACACTTTTAAACATACCAAAGTTTTATTGTCAAAGTGTTAATATTTTTCAAAATCCTCTCGTGACTGGCGAGCAATTTCATTCGGTACAAAGGTCCTGTAGGTTGTACTCGTGTGTGAAATTAAGGTGGGTCAAAGTTATTCAGGAGACCTGTTAGTAAACTTTAAAAAATATTAACTTTGTTCAAAGGTCACGACGACCATACCCAGCCTCAAGGGAACTTAATTGATTTATAGCATGATAATAAACGTATGTAAGCGCAGGATTTAAAGAGACTGCAGCGGTTTGTAAACTGCAGAACCTCGGAGACTGCCTGAGCAAATATGGCAAAACTGGAAAAAGAGAACATGGACATAGGTAAACAAATGCAATGCTAAACATCTCATTTCCTATTGCAATACAATGATGTGTATCATTTACATGTAAAAAATATAAATTTATGTTTTCTTTCTAAACATTAGCGATGGAAGATGGAAAGAGTTCTGCCCCCAGGAAGAGGGTCAAGGTAAGTGGTTCTTTGCGTGTGGTTCGTTCAAGTGCACGGATAATGCTACGCTAAACTTGTCCATCCGTTCAATGCAATCGATGTGTGAAACTATTTTAAGATGCGCACGCTACATAATTGTGGATGTACGATAAAATGTAAGTGTCGTGTACTAAACACTGAATATGTAGTGTACCGCACTGCACACGGTACTCTTGATATATTTTATACTAATGATAATGAGTATTATTCTATAGCCCTTTGGCAACCAAATAATGGATGTCAGTCATAAGGAGGGTCATTTTATGGGGGGGGGGGGAACTCAGGTTTCGATATCACTCACCACTGATGTTAGCCGTAGCTGGGAAGTAAACTCAGGTGGCAGGTGCAGGGAGCACAGTGGGTTGACCAATGTGCAACGGCATCTTATATTGTATACTCTATATACAAAGCATATAAAGCATATAAATGACACTACATTTTGCACGATAAAAACATTCAACGCGGTATTCTCATTTCTTAGACATTCTGCGGCTCCAACTACCCCATCAGCATTGCCTTCATTGTCGTTAATGAGTTCTGCGAGCGTTTCTCCTACTATGGCATGAAAGGTATTGCAAGCAAATTCTGAAAGAAATGTATTGCGTTCCACAGTACAGTACTTCAATCTATTTTTGCTAATTGTTGTTCATGTTAAAATTTCTTTTTATAACCTTTGTGAAATCTTCTCATGTTTTTCGCAAGAATACACATTTGATTAGATTATCAGACTTTGAATTGTATTAACACAAAAAACAGCAGTTAGGCTGCCATGCACCGATTTTTAAGAGTGTGTGTTCAGCACATATGCAATGTAACATTTTATTTTTATTCTAGCTGTGCTGGTGCTGTACTTCCGTTATTTCCTGCACTGGAATAACAACACAGCCACGTCTGTCTACCATGCCTTCAGCGGACTCTGCTACTTCACACCCGTACTCGGGGCCATCATTGCTGATTCCTGGTTGGGGAAATTTAAGTAAGGGAACACAATGTCAGATTTCAAATCCCATTGTATATATGTCGTTATAGTATGCAACGACGCAAGGAGGCCTTCATCCAGTCGTAGACTGATCAAGGCTAATAATGATGTTCTATTATAGTAGATAATCATCTTCATCGAAAATGTATCCACCGCTGGATGAAGGCCTCCTCAAGTATGTACGCTACGTAATATAATATCTGGCTCTAGATTTGAAGCTTTCGTGACTGCAAGGAATCATATTCTTAGGTTTTTTCGGTAAAGTCACGTAGGTAAAACATCAAAATTAATGAAAATAAAATAAAAATCACGTTTCGGAGGCAACACAAGTCTCCGTCATCTGGTGGGACCGTCACAGCCGGATTAGCTGCATCAAGTGAGGCAATGATTCAAGATGTAATCCCTTAAAAGCAAGTTGAGGGGGGAGGAGAGGGGGGGCTCATCAGAATGTGGAAGCCAATTAATGGAACGTATCGGGAGGGAGGGGGGCGGGGCTCAAAGACGGCACGGAGTGCCACGTACAACGCATCGGGAGGGGGAGGGGGGCGGGGCCAAAAGAATGGACGACGGCGTGGACGCGGTTGCTGCTGCACACGCCTCTCTGTCCAATGCGTTGGCGAGTGCAGCAGCAACCGCGTCCACGCCGTCGTGCATTCTTTTGGCCCCGCCCCACCTCCCCCTCCCGATGCGTTGTACGTGGGACTCCGTGCCGTCTTTGAGCCCCGCCCCCCTCCCTCCCGATACATTCCATTCATTGGCTTCCACATTCTGATGAGCTCCCCCCCCTCTCCTCCCCCCTCAACTTGCTTTTAAGGGATTACATCTTGAATCATTGCCTCACTTGATGCAGCTAATCCGGCTGTGACGGTCCCACCTGATGACGGAGACTTGTGTTGCCTCCGAAACGTCGTGATTTTTATTTTATTTTTTATTAATTTTGATGTTTTACCTACGTGACTTTACCGAAAAAACCTAAGAATATAATATCTGGATTTTCAGTGGCATAGTGCCTGACTCACAAATGGTTGTGTTGAAATTTTATTTGGGTATCAACTCAGCCTAGGATTTAATGATGATAATAATAATGCTGTGGCAATTAACACTGGCCCCTGCTATTCAATATTTACATTTCCTCCACTGGTTCAGCACTGCCGATGGAAACGAAGATCACTCAATAGTCATTTGATGTCTGTTTGACACGTTATAAATCATAAGGTCAATACTGCAGTCCAATGGGATCGTGTAACCTGTCGCCTGCTAGCATACAACCTACCCACACCGCCATTGATTTATTCACTTGCTATGTTTTCGTATTATTTGGGTCTTTTGGTAAAGTCACGTAGATAGGTTCAAATTAACAATAAAACATGTATTTGAACTTATCTACGGGACTTTACCGAAAGACCCAAAGAATTTGAATTCCTGCAGTCACGAAAGTTGTAAGTCAAGATGTGTTTTAGTACTCTACACTGTACAATATACCACCGCTTTTAATTTGTTTTTATCAGTTAAATCTATAACGGATTTGTATGTAATACTGTAATGTGTTGCCTTGTTAAACTTTTCACAAATCTAAATTATTTTAAATATGCAAAATGCTATCACATGCTACAGGATTGTCATCAGCCATGATCAATCCACTGCTGTCATATAACAACGAATGTGGCTGTCCATTTAAGGGTATTTGACTTTACGAGTATGTGGAGATGACATTAGACTTGAATCCACTCTGGTCAATGTTTTGAGCACGTTGACTCACTTGGTGATTCTGTTTCAGAACCATCATCTATCTGTCCATAGTCTACGTGCTGGGCCATGTCGTGAAGTCCATTGGTGCTCTACCTGATGTCGGAGGGCACACTGTTCATGTGTGAGTAAATCGTGCATATTTCTGTATAAAATTTTGTATGTTGAACTTATTTCGCACCCTACGTAGTCAACCGTGCTAATCAGAGGTGCGGGAAAGGACAACAAACTAAGCACAAAAAGCAGTTCTAAAGAAATTCGTTTTCAATATAGATTTAAAAGTGCATTGCTCCAGTGGCTTCCTAATATCACAAGGAAAAGCATTCCAGATGGCCACAGAAGCTCATCTGAAAAATATTAGAATGTAATCTTAATAGTGATGTGAACATAAACAATATATATAACAATGTGGATGCTGTTTGATAGGGTCTTGGCAATGGTCGGGCTAGGACTCATTGCTCTGGGCACCGGAGGCATCAAACCCTGCGTGGCAGCTTTTGGTGGTAGATCAGTTCCAACCAGGCATGGTGAGATTTGCTTTAATTATAGCCACCTATGTAGACATGTGTATAGGTATTATGTAATATAATTATGAATATATCACGTATTAAGAATCAAATGTGACATTTGTTTTGCTCATTTATCTTGTGCCATCAAATTGTAAAATTATTTGTCACCCACCTCCCCTCTTGTCTGAGGATTTTCAGTTATTATTAAATGGCATGTATGCATAATTACGTGTAATTATAGGAGCGATGGTATTTGTTTTTACAAACTGGAAAGAACCACAATAAACATTGCCTCCTTAGCTTTTGTTCTGTTTATGGACTGTGAATGTGTGTGTGCCGTGTGTGTTGTTTACAGGATCATGAGAGAGGAAAGTTTTTCTCCATTTTCTATTTGTCCATCAATGCTGGCAGCCTCATTTCAACCTTTGTCACTCCTATACTGCGAGGTAACTTGGAAACAGTTTGCAATATCTTTTTTAAAGTTCGTTGGTAACATTGTGTATACAACATAATTTGATTTTATATGTTATCTACCCAAGAGTAATATTTTAAGAACGATGTCCAAAAAATGAATGACTGATCAATATGTTCAACGCGAGAGAGTAGAGTGGTATTCGTTTTACATTGTTTTACTTCACATTAATTTTTTTAATTGATGAAAACAATTATTTAAAAGAATACTTGAAAAAGTATATATATTTTATAAACATATATAAAAATATAAAGACTCATTGATATTTCTATTGCTGGTTCTTAAACCAAATACAGCTATGAATAACACATGTATATCGAGAAAAGTGACATTATGAAAGGAAGTGGTATTTATTTTGCTAACAGAACAAATGTAAATACAGATAAGTGTATAGTGAACAAACTCATGTTGCATTAACATAACGTCAAAATGTTCTTAAAATAATTTTACTGAATTAGGGTTTTAAATGTACATATTGCTATCACATTTATCATGGGGTCAGTACTACTGCTGTGCTAAACTAATGTTGCTGTGGTAATAGTTCCAGTCGTTTGTATTTATAATTTTTTCCCAATGTCTATATTGTCCAATAGGTATCCCCATGTTTAAAAAAGATGTAATTCACATTTGTGTTTGAACAGACGATGTGCAGTGTTTTGGAGCGGACTGCTATGCTCTGGCATTTGGCGTACCTGCCATTCTCATGGTGGTTGCTCTTGGTAAACCTAAACATTTTAAAGCATTGCCGTTTAATTCCAAACAATTATAATAGCCAATGTTTTTATACGTATACAAAAGTTAATATTATGCTATTATGTAAAATGTATTCTCAATAATGCATTACTGTATTGGTAAGATTATATTATACACAAAAAACAACTGTGTGTGAAGAAGTCCTCTTCAATACATGTTCATGCTTTAAGTATATATTAATGGCAAATGCTGCACTACACTTTCATTTCAGTTGTCTTTATTGGGGGGAGCAGCACATACACAAAGAATCCACCAGAGGGGAATGTATTGGTCAACGTGAGCAACTGCATTGGGGTGAGTCACCATGCAATGTTATAATCACATTCAAAACCGGAATGCAAAAAACTGTTTCGTAGTGTAAAAATGACTTGTTACAAACGCAAAGAATATGCTTCTCGTAGAATACTGTTTTAGAAATTCACCTTATTAAAACGGCAGGTATCAAACTCGATCTTTGCCACATTTCTGACATAATACATGAAATGTATCTACTTCATATGATTTTAAAATATATAATTCACAGCCCTTTGTCCATCCACTGCTGGATAAAAACTTCCCCATGCAGTGTATGTCATTGGAGTTGTTTTAGCATATGTCACCACGCTGGTCCGTGTGAGTTGGAGATGGGGGGGGGGGGGCGCACGCACGAACTAGTTAAGATATCACTCACCGACAATATTTGCAGTTGTCGGGAGTTGAACACGGATGACTGCGTCAATGTTTCACAAAGTATATTTGTTTAAAAATGATGCTCCAAAGTTAAATATGCACACATCTTGAATAGGTACATTATTACACTATATTTTTAACTCACTTTTCCAGTTTTTTTATGAATTGATGTTTGAAACAACATCACATCTCATCCATCCCCTTTATAGAGGATGCTGCATCCACACATTTGTAATGGGGTCCTTCTTCTTTTGCCGATTATCTTTTACCAACTCTCAATTTCTAGTGTCTCTTCCACTCCATCAGTCCACCTGTGTTATCTTGTTCATTCCACCTTCAAGTTCTTTCGAATTCACCATTTTAGATATATAGATGTATACAACAATAAACATTAAATACGCTTTCATTTAAGCAAAGGTCAAATACTGCTTTAAGCTACAGTACTTATACAAAGCCAACCATAATGTTTTCATATATTTGAAATTTCTCTTTCACAAAAAAGTGGAAATTGAATGGTAAAATATTTACAAAAACATGTCTTCACATAAAAGGCTCTTAATATTAATTGTTTCCGGTACAGTTTGCAATCAAGAATCGCTGGAATCACCGGGGCAAGCAGTTTCCCAAGCGAGACCACTGGTTGGACTGGGCAAAAGGAAACTACGATGTAAATAACTCAGCCCTGAATGGTTTGCATTGTTGAAACAAATTATTCTGGAGAAATGTATTTGGATTAAGTGCCATTTCCTCCTTGTGATTAAATAAAATAAAATGCGTGTAACCTTTTGCGTGTAGGAGGATCTTATCATGGAAGTCAAGATGGTACTCAGGGTCCTTTTCTTATACATCCCGCTGCCAATGTTCTGGGCCCTTTTTGATCAGCAGGTGAGGGTGACCCAACTATCAAGTACCGTACATATAATTTTTTGCTCAATTAACATTCTGTAAATACAAAAAATCTAGTGCCACAAAATGTCATGAAAAAGAAAACACATTCATAAGACTCTGTAGTAACTGCCATTAAAATAAATGGAATTAAGCTGCTTCATCCCTGATGTTTCAAGATGGTGAAACACAGACATTATTGGACAAAGAAGGGCCTCTGCCAAAAACGTTACCTATTGTATTTATTCCCTCTTTAGGGCAGTCTTATTGACAAATGTGTTATGTTATTGTTAAATGTGTGTTCATTTTCGAGAATATTAATTTCACCACTGTGGTTACGTATCAGTGAAACAACTAAAAACCCTGTGATTTATAATTTCATCTTAGGGTTCAAGATGGACTCTGCAAGCAACAACCATGACTGGAGACTTTGTAAGATGAAAAAAAAATCACTGCATTTACTCAATACTGACGATACAATATGACTTAGCACGAACATGTTGTGTACATGTAGTAGGGAAATACTAAATCAGGCATAGATACGAAATTTAACATGACCAGAATTTTGGGTTGAACCAAAAACCGTCACTTTCACGCTATTCCACCAAAGTGTTATCACGTGATATCAGATAACATAATTTATTAGCACAAATACATTTTACATTTGGACATTTACACGTTCATCAACCTGCATTTTTAGATTCCCAAAATAACTTTAAATAAAGGAGGATAGTTGCAGTATATGCATTTTACGTGAATGTCACGAAAGAAGACAATGCAAATTGTTTTTATGGCGTGAAACCATTTCACACACAAAGGATACCTATGCATTAGTTGGCACTTGATATGTTTACATATATGCTCATATGAAATAGTTTAGTCCTGCATATTCATTCAATGTACTTTATTTTACTTTCAGGGTGCCTTTGTTCTGAAGCCTGATCAAATGCAGGTTTGTTTTTCAACTTTCTTAAATAAATAACGTATTTGTTCTTTAGGTATGTTGATTTTATGTTAATTTTATATTTTGAACTACATTTTAAGTTTGAACTACATTTTAATTTTGTAATGTTCATTACCTTCTTCCTCAGACAATAAATCCCATCCTAATTCTTGTGCTCATCCCAATCTTTGACGTTGCGATTTATCCACTCATCAAGAAGTGTGGCATCAACTTTAGGTGAGTGAAATACAGTGCAGCACAAACAACTGAAAACCTTGGTCATCCGTTATTTGATAACTTGCCAAAGTGAAGTTTGAAATGCCTCATCGAGCTGATTTATAGTGCTTTCAATGTATGCACTACAGTATATGTCACAAAGTAACCATGTTGTTACTCACACCACTATCCATAAAAAAAAACGTTTTTGGGTTAGATCGTGTAAATATAAACCCGACAGCCAATTAGTAAGGTTTGTCACGTAAACAAAACATCCCAATTCATAATTAGTTTAGCACATCGGTGTGTTGGAGCGTAAAATGGACAAAATGTACAATTCGAGTACGACGTTTTGCCAGTAATTACAACCAGCATCATCAGGCGAACAGCCAGAGTTGTGGAGACATTTTCCTACTTCGGTCTTAGAGGGATATATGTGATGCCTTTGCACCTGATTGTCTCACAATGGCTATATTAATTACCTAAACTTACTAAATGGCTCTGTCAGGTGGTGGCGGGTTTAACGGCACGTTTATATTACGCGATCTAACCCAAAAACCTCTTATGGATAATATTGGTCGTGAAAGCCTACGTGTTAAACCGACTCACACCACTGTTGGCAGAAGACCTTCCAACAGGAGCTCTAAAGAACCACTCTTGAGGACATTTGGCATACTTTCATGCTGGTCAGATATCTCAGAAGAGGTGGGATTCCCTCCCCCACTTTACCCCATGTGACATGATAATCAGATAATTGTGGTATAACAAATTATAATGCTGGATGTACAGAGGTGGGAGATTTAAACAAAACCTGACTATTTCAACCACTGAGGGAGAACGAAACGACAACCTTTGAATTGCAATTCCATTGTGTTAAGCATTACACCAAAGCATCATCCCAACCAGAAATTTACAAGGCATTAATATCAGGGATCATGGCACAAAAATATAGCAGGTTGTAATTTGTGTACATTTTCAATAGCTGATGCTCAAAAAGTCAATTTTCCATTTTAAAAAGTATGTGTTTCTACCTTTACAGTCCGCTTCGCAGGATGGCAGTGGGTATGATCCTGGCAGCTCTTGCGTTTGTTGCAGCAGCACTGGTGCAATTGGAAATTGATGTATGCCATCTACAGCCGCACAAATTACACAAACTGCTACCCATTGTGATACATAGAAATCCAATTTTACAATTTTTAGTACAATGTAGAGTACTTGGTATTGAGTTAAATATAGGTACATGATCTCCCTGCTTATCTGTTGTGATGCTGTTGGACCAATATCGCAAGTTCTATTATCCACCAATAATAGGATAAATAGTGCCACGGGTAACTGGAATTTTTGCGGATCCTACAGCTCCTGTGGATAATAGGACTTGCAGGTAATCGGGTTATGGATAAGAGTTCTCCTCTAACGTGCAATTTATGCATATACCATAATTTTGCATTACAATATCTTCTTTACTGGATTAGGGAATATTTTTAGTTTTGCGCATAGAGTACAGTACTTTACTGTATATATTACCAAAATAGATGAGCATTCAATATGTCTCCTTCATATATTTGTCTCTTCATGTAAAACATTTGTTTTAAACAACTCATCATCTCCAAGACCATCTTGGAGTACACTATTTTAGCAGCATTGATTCATTACATTTCCAATACTTTACATTGTCCTTCATGAAGTACACTTGAAGCCAAAATTGTTTCAAGTGTGACATTTCAGAAAAAAAATATTTGGACTCGGTGTGGAATTTCCGAATACTGTAAATAAAGAACAATTGTATATGTAAATCGCTTTCTCAATCCACAATCCACTGCTGGATGAGGGCTTTCCCACACTGTAAGTCATGGGTGATATTTGATCATACTTCACCGTACTGGTCAGTGGGGTTGATGCAGATCGGGTGTATCTACTGTATACAATACATTTTACCACACTGCCCTCTCCTGAAAACATACAATATGATCTCTGTACTATCGTAATGATGTAATTAATACACTGCCATTTCCTTTCAATTAGAAAACACTGCCCGATTTCCCATCATCGGGAGAATTCAGCTTGAGAGTCATCAACGCCGGAGCTCATCCACTGAACATCCAGTTTGAGAATTATGAGTTTGACGTGGCGAATATGTCGGTATGCCTTGTTTTTGGACATACATTTTGTGTTTGAATTTCCAAATTATTGTACAGATGCTGTGTACAGCCTCGCAATTTTTGTAATCCACATCGTTTGCTTTGTCAAACATACGTTGGTATGTTGTAATATTACAAAATTAAATACCAGTACAGCACATTAATGGGTATAAAATAATTTTCTGTATGTGGTATGCTGTTTTATTTAAATATTTGAATAACAAAACCAACTACAATACTGTATAGAGCTGTATATGGAATGAAGACGACAGTTAAATGATTAAATCACAGTACAGGTATACAGTACTTTTAGATGATTGGTATACATCCAGAAAAACAGAGGTACATTTACATTGTCTGCAATATATTGTCCGATAAAAATGTGACAAGAATATAATCTTAATACAAAATTTTAATCGCGTGAAATAAGAATTTAAAACGTAGACAGTTACAGTATGTGGCAATAGTGTGATTCAAGGAATAAAAATACTATGCAGTATTGTACTTTTTTATGTAAAGATATTTACACTGTGTTTTTTACAGGCTTCTGTGCACAAATCGTTCAATATTGTGGCGAGAAAACCGTTTGAAATAGTGGCATTTCGAGATGGCACAAAGTTCACCTGTCCCTTTAATGCTGAAGAGAGGGAGTCAATGACTGTGATATTTTATGAAATCCCAGATGAGCTACGCCTTCAATGTAAACAGGTGGGAAAATGATGCCTTCATATACTACACAATGGTATATACATATTACAACCAGAACCTATACTGGAGGACATGAATTAGTATCACTGAGTGTTTTTTAATGCAATTATTTATTATGGTGTATTTTCCAGGAAAATGATTTAGTCTCAAAACCTGAAGAAGGCATGGCAGCAGTGAGGTAAAACCACGTGTTCGTCTAGTTTGCACATCATGTTATGCAATGGAGCAATATTTTGTAAATAAACGTTAAGAACAGTATTACTGAATATAAACCGGTATGCACTCGGCAAAAAGCTAATAATTACATTTCATATACACTCTCTGCTTTCCTGAAACAAAAATTAAACTCCTGTATTGGAACACAGCCAGCGACAAAGGGCCCTGAGACATTATTTCCCCCCCTCCCATTCAAACTTTAATCCCCCTATGGGTAGAACTCTGGGACTGTATGTTGGCAATAAAAACAAATATTTTTACATGTTAAAATAATGTAATAGTGCATAAAAATCTAATACAAGTTAAAGGTAATTAACGTAATTGCGTCTTAAGATGTTTTCATTACAGACTTCCTTTTATCCATGGCCCTATTTCTATTTGTGGTAATCCATGACTTCCCATAAGTCTTTGCAGAATGGCATCTTATTATCTGTTATTTTAGTCACAGAATGTCATCCTAAGAGTAACACGTTGCAGATAACCATGCAGATAATAGGATCCACAATATGGATCCCCCATATTACCGTGGATATGAGGCGTTCTCGTAGTTTCTCAGTGCAGATATTTAATAACAAGTGGTGCATACAAGATACATTGAATTTGTGTTGGAGAATTAAACCATCGTTTGGCCGTTGGACTAAGCTGTCCTATTCCCTTGGCTACAGCACCACCACACAGAAGACAGAATTGTATTTTTCCATACTTTACATTTGTGGAATAGCATTAGCCCCACCTATGGCTCTCACTTCCCCAGTCCTCTGCATTGTAATCCACTCCATATTTCTGATCCAATTTCTCATTGTATTCTGTGATTTTGTTTTACCTATTTTCAGATTTGTTGGTGGGAACAGTGAAATTAAAACTGTTGATATTGGAACTTACAGTACAGTTAATGTGAGTGGAGACTATAATTTTACAGACTACCAGCTGGTATTTCGTGGAAAGTAAGTAGCCTACTTTTTTCACTTGTACACACATAGAGTACAGTTTTAAAATGAATTCTACATTCAAAAACTACTGCTTGTCAATTTGCATAAGCATTTGGATTCCTGTATAAATATGATATAGTAAACTGTAGAGCAGGTTTTGCAAATCCCTTTCCTTGTGACCCCTACTACCCAGCCAGGGTATGCCATTCCAAGTTTAACAGCCTTCTTCTGTTCAAATACAAAATTTTACATGGGGAAGCTTGACATTGAGAATTACAACTTTTGAATGAGGTAATTGGACAGAGAAACATGTGTACATTATAAAAGAGACATGTTAAAAATTTTAAATTATAATACATTGTCGTACTGTACTGATAATGTACTTTTAAATCAAGCCAATTCATTTTATAGTGCGTGTAATGACTTAACACACTTCTCCTGAGATGGCACTTTATTGAAGACACGTTAACGTCACATCAGGCGGAAACCCCACTGCAACAGCCACGAGTCTCCTGCACATCTCCCTTCTTGATCATTCTCGATCATTCTCGCTGACTGGACGCTCGCTCCACCGGCAGACTCTCCTGACCTCTGCCGTCACCTGACCACGCTCCCTTCTCGATCGTTCCCATGGCCACCAGTCCCTTCGCACTCACAACTGATACCCCTGTCATTACCTCCCCTGGCCACTAGTGCATTCGCACTGTAGGCTGACTCCCCTGTTATGACCACCCATGGCCACTAGTCCGTGCATGTAGGCTCTACTGTCATTACATATGTATTGGGATCAGCATGATTTGCTGTAATCATTAAAGTTCTGTATGGTATTTATATGGAACTTTGTTTTTCATATATATTGTTTGTGGCATGAAATTACGTGTTTTTTTGGAGATTAGGATGACAATTAAGATATGTAAAGAAAACATGTATAAAATGTATATCGTTTGCATTTTCAGATATAAAATCATGTCGGAAAAAAATGATTTAGGAGAGGTTTTTTTGGATTTCGGGGCTGCCTACACAATCCTTTTGAAACCGGTAAGGTCTTGAAACACAACTCTGTAACGTGGTGTATATGAATACAATCCTTTACACGTTACAAGAAAAATACATTGAGACACCATGTTCCTTTCCAAGCTAGACTAAGGAAAACCAAAGCACATAGGAGCATATAGATATGTTAATACTTCTGTATAAAGTTATGTACTTAAAAAAATATCTGTAACATTTCAGCTTTAAAATAAAACATCCATATTATAATCCGACTAGGTTACTCTGTGGATGAGTATGCAGCTCTTAATTGGAAGGTTGCAAGTTCAAATCTTGATTGGGGGTTGACTTAGTTCATCATCCCTCCTGGGTCAATAAGGTAGGTACTACTTTGTGGGGAAATCAACGATGGTTAGTCCAATGGATAGACTTGCCCCCACCATAGGAATGTGTAATTTCCACGACTGGCTCAGGGCTGTAAACAGCAGATGAACATCACCTGAAAGCTATTTGAGCAGAAAATTATTTTCACTTTTGACTTTTAGATTTTACATATCATTGTCGTTATTGTGGAACATTATGGGGAATCAAAATATAGACTTCAGATTTCCAAAACATTGCAGCAGGTAAAAAATGCGTAGGATATGTGTAGTCATATATTAATTTGGAATCTTACATTCAATTTATTGTTTTTTTGTTTTACCAAGGATGAATTCGGTATCCTAAAGATACAGGATTTGCCAGAAAACTCCATAAACTTAGCTTGGCAGGTTCCCCAGTATTTCCTGCTCACAGCTGCAGAAGTAATGTTTTCAGTTACTGGGCTGGAGTTTTCATACTCTCAGGTAAGTTACAATTTTCATTTACCATGCACACCTATGGTCCACCAGATGTTGTTAGGCACCATATTACTGTGTGTAACATGTTTGTCTTCAATATGCATTTGAGTTTTAAGATCATGACTGCATATCCAATACACTCTACTCAACTGTTAATGTAAAAAAACAATCATGTGCATATGTTTGTACATACAGTATAACGTTTTAGTTATTGCCATGTGGTAACAATGTTTTGATTCACGACAACTACTCTTCACATGCGGAATATTTAGCAAAAAGAAACTAAGCTGTTGGGCTTCAGGGTCTGCAATGTTTGAGTATATTTTACGTTTGTGTGTTTTGCATGTACGAACACTACATTAACAAATACACACTCTTGTGCAAACCAGGCACCGACCAGCATGAAGTCGGTGCTGCAGGCAGGTTGGCTTCTCACAGTGGCGTTTGGAAACGTCATTGTACTGATTGTGGCTGAGGGTGCAAATATGGAGCAGGTAGGTTTATTTTGCAGAAAAATGTGAGAATGCCTAAGCTAATGTACAACATAATGTTGCATAAAAAAGCCAATTGTTCGTGTAGTTGCTGGTAAACAATACTACACCGTTTCACTCCATGTACCGATAGCTTTTACCTGAAAAAACATCCGAGAGCTTAACTATACAACACATCCGCAAAAAACATGCGCAACAGTGTTACTTAAAATGTGCATATTGTACCAACAGAATTATAATCAGATTTTTTTTATACTGTCAGAAATCCGATGAGTTATAAAGCAATTTTTTAACAGATGCCCATTAGATGTCCAACATTTGAACAACACATATTAAGTTCGTAACGACACGTGATGCTGTGTGGCATTTCACTATGAAAGTTATTTTTTTTATTTAACCAACAGTTTACGTTTGAGAAGTAAAATGCGAATGCAATACTTTTGTGTCACTTAGTGGGTGGAGTTCATCCTGTTTGCCTGCCTGCTGTTTGCGGTGTTCATCATATTCTCAATAATGGCGTACTTCTACGTGTACGTGGACCCAAGCAACCTCAAAAACAAAGAAAAGGAAGAAAAGGGAAGCATCATTTCTCTGGACGACTTCAAGCCAATCGCTGCTGAAACTGACAAACAGACCAAGTTGTAACCCATGCAAAGGAACACTACTTTGCAAAGAAACACATGTCTGTGTAGCAGCATAAAAAGGGGCTCATCAATGGCATCAGTACATTTCAATGATATGTTTTGTATTGTATTAAATACAAATTGAGTGGACAGCACTTTTTACCTGATGGTGATCATTTAACTATCGTGCTTTCGAATTTTGTACATTATTGAAGATGATCAAGCAAAAATACTCCACTGTAAAATAAAATCAAATAGACAAAATGTAAAATAACAGACTGTCCTGTACACTCAAATGTAGGAATAAAACAGCATTTATTCAGCATTATCATTCCGATTATAGTATACTGTACTTTTGATAGTACTGCAATTTAAAATGCATACACATGGTGATTTAAAAGAACAATATAGATAATACTATAGATTGCATATTAATTAAAAAATTGGTAAACAACACTTTTAAATCGTACGTTAAGATTATTTTGATTAAACGTTTTATTTTTTCCATGTTTTGAAAATGTAAAATTATTCAACTCAATGTTAAGTACATCTGACGTCTGTTTAGATGTTTAAAATTGTATGTTTTGTAACGGAAATATAAATAAATCAATTTGAAATGTGTTGAGTGTAATGTGAGTGCGAACTATATACGCTTTACAGTCTATATAATTCAACGTTTACTAACTTTGCATGCAAAATTACTTGAGTAAAATATCAAACCGGTTGGAGTATTGGCACAGTGATATATAAAACTGGTGACCTACGTTGTTTCTTAGCCACGGATAACATTGGCAAATTATATCTAAACTGGTCCTGGGCACCCGTTCATAAAACCACACCAGCATAGTAAAGCGTGGCCACACGACCTCCATGGCCAACACTGTGGAGAAGCCTTCGTCCAACACGAGATTGACAAAAATGGTCGTAATTACACTTGAACTCCTAAATCTGCAGTGATAAGGGGATGGGGTTTTGTAGATCCTGTATTCCACAACTCACTGTGGCTTCATTCCAGAAATGTATACTAACACATTTATGAGTTTTTAGCTGTGCGACTCAACTTAACTAAGCACTCCAATAAACTAGGAAAAACATTGTGATTTATTTTTAAAACCCAAATGTATTAAACTATAATGGGGTCTATACAAAGTAATTTTTGTGTTATTTTAGAATTGAAATTAAAAGCAGATTTCGTTTCCCAATCAGCAGACTATGTGAGCACAGATAGTCTGTTACCAATTTTTATTTCCGTTTCCATTTTTTCTTTCTGTATGATGGGAATGAAAAAAATCATTAACATTTTTAGCCAGCCTCCAAAAACCCTAGAAAATTCTCACCTAGTTTATGATTACCCCCCCCTCCCCACGGGCTCCGGGAGTTGATGTGACTCGAGGGTAGTCATTTATTTTAGAATTTGCGTATTTTTGGACGAAGGATTATTGGAGTTCTACTGTAATTTAAAATCTCGACAACTGTTCAAGTTGATAGTTGGCACTAAAAGCTTGTGCTACTCAGGAAAAAGGAAATACAGTAGACTCGATTATCCACGTGCGGTTTATCCGATTTGCTGACTAACCGTGCACCTGAGATTTTGACAAATTAATAACTCATGGATTTTCCCTTAAGCCCAAATTAATTATACAAAAAACAGTTATAAATTGTTATTCTTGGAAATGTTTCTCATAATTCACGTGCTTAAATCGAACAAATATGTGCTCCGGTTAATCCGAAATTCACATGATCGCCTCTACAGTACAATAGTTACATATATTTACAACAGTAGGTAGAGTTTGATTTGAATTGGCGTGGATCTGCTATCCACTGAGTGGGTGGATTCTTCTGCGCGGGAGCAGGAAAGTGTTATCACTGAGCATGCACATCGATCAGTCGATCATTAGTTTTTGGCATAGATATTTGTGGAAATTTTTATTTTTGGATTATCCGCGATTTTTAATTATCCGTGGCCTTCCTCCCCGTCATTAGCGCAGATAATCGAGAGTCTGCTCTATATGCATATGAAGAGGGAAGCAGATGTCCCTTAACTTTACACATTTTGTAATGGGGCCCCCCCTCCTACCATTTAAAACTGTCCATTCATAAGTTGAACCCGCCAAAACCAGTGACCCCCCCACTTGGTTACTAAACATAAGCCACGCAAGTTACTCTAACCCAATATCAACATCACAGTACAACAAACCCTTCGCTCTCACGGATTCAGCTATCGCTAATGGCCGAGCCCATCATGCCCCTGTGTCTCGGCCATTCGTGGTCGACTGTGAGATCCCTGTATGCATCGTAAGTGTACTTCTGGCGATGATGTTGCCGCGGAAGAACACACACACACGTGCCATTTTGTCTCCGTCTTGTCGCCCAAGCGGTCCATCGTGGGTCCCAATTTACGTGTTGCCAGCCTCCAGTAAGGCTCAGCCGCACAATTTTTCTCCCTGAAGTGTAATACGGATACGTATACAGTATTGTACACCATTACATTGTTTTAAATCTATACATTTACTGTACAAGTTATATTTAACACTAGAAAACAATCATATTATACATTAAAAATGCTTCCTGTTTAATGTTTGGCTTGATGTAGGGTAACATAAAACAGGGGTGTCGTATTACGAACCGTGAACCAAACGTAAGTTTTCCCATTTGCCTTTGAGTTTGCGGACCGTGGATTTGCCCAGCAAACCCAGTTAGTGTTGGCTTGGCTGTTGCTATTCAACTATTAACATCGTATAAGCCACAGACAATAACAACCATTACATCAACCATCACCATAAACACGATTCTCACCAAATACACGACCAGCACCACCGAGAGTAATACATAGGGTTGAGGTTGGGCTCTGGGTTCAATATTGTGAGGCCAATCAATAACTTAATGGACGCATTGCCTATTCAACATGATACCCTATGATCACTAGCTCTCTGAACTTAAGCATTATTTCCGTATCTCTGGTGATACTCCAGTGTTAAATAATACAATACAGTATAAGCACTTAATGGAGGGCATAATGATTAAATTGTAAGCTTGTAATCGCACATTATTAACGGAATGTTAACATGGTACAATATGGCTTCACAGTACAGTATTGGAGGATAGTTACTCGTTTAAAATATGATTAAGAAAAACAGCAGAGCTCCAATATATAAGAAGATTGCTGGTCTGCTGTGTCGTTAATGGGGACGCAGGTCGTTCGCCACTGATGTTAGCCATGGCTGGGAATCCAACTCGGATTTCCGGGTTCATAGCACAATGTGGAGTTTTGCCTATCGAGTAAATACTGTACAGGTACTGATTTAAAAAAAATATCTATATAGAAAAAAGTCTAAGGATGTCTGCAACAATTCAGCTGGCTTCCAAGAGTCATATAGTTTGACTCACTGAGTGTAGTTCTGCCTCGCGGCAGGTATGGGGGTGTGCGTACACAGGAATTTCCGGATATGGTGTTAAGTTTGGTCACGTGACCAGGAAGTTATGATTTCAGATTCTCTCAGCCACGTGGCAGGGTGTCAGCCATTACACAGAGTACAAAATGGAGGCACAAATAACGTCTCAGTGAAGACAGGTGCATCTGTTCATTGTGGGACTTTAAGAAGCATTTTCTGTAAGTTCGTTTATGTTTTTATAATACTGGGAATGCTGTTATAATGTTAGGATTGCCGTTATAATGCTGTAAATGCCTTTATAATGCCGTTAAATTGTTATGTTGAATATGAGGCCTAGTTAACAATGAAGCCTGCCACTTACATATTGTGAATGTTACTTGTGTAATGAGTGGCTCCGACATGTTTACAGCTTCGGGTTCCTCTCTGCGGATGTTGAACCGCTTGGGTGGCTGCGCTGCCCCGCGCCATGTGGCGCTCACCCACTCACCAAAACGCCGGTGGCTGACGGTGCGTTAGGGAGCGCCCCCGGTTTATATTTGCTCCCCGGCGACTAAGCCCCGCCTCTGGCCACGCCCCTCCCGGAACCTTCGGGAACGTTCCGGAGGCTTCCCTGGTGGATCTGCCCCATCACCTTTACCCCAGATATAATCCCTACTGTAGATAAACCGTAACTGTATAAACAATGTACGCCCCACAATAATACAGGAGATGGCACTCTTATTACACTTGTAATTGAATAAGTCGAGTTATATTTATACCTATGCAACTTTAATGCAATCTTGAGAGCAAGTATGAAGAAGCATCTCATCCCCAGTTCAGTGTTATGTGCAGCGCTGTACATTTAGGCTGCAGTATGGTGATTACACGATGTGATCTTATTTAACACAGTAGCTTATTCTCTTGTATAACTATCCAGTGCAAATGTAGGTGCCTCGTCCATCCAGGACTTATTGTTGAGTTTTATGTTATCTAAGACAATGTTATGATGTTCCTTGTGTTCATTCATTGTATCGATATTGCAAGTGTAACAGTGTTATTGCAGTTGCCGGCAATACCGACCACAGGCCAATAGGGGGCAACAGAGGGTGCTGAGAGTCGATGGGCTATAGGGTCCAACGGTTACCCTATGGAACAGTATGTAATAGGGGCAGACCCCAGACCCCAGGAGGGGAGCTGGGGGATGACATCATCCCCGGATCCTTCTCGAAGGTTCGAGAAGGAAGGTGTGGCCGGGGCGGAGCGTGCCACGGCTCTGTATAAAAGCCGGACCTCTGAACGGTCCCGGCAGTCGTCGCCCAGCTGAAGACAAAAATCCTCCTGAAGACTGAAGAGCCCCAAGGGCAGAGCCATACCCCTGGCAAGGATCGGCTCTAAGCTATACCAGTGAAGACTGAAGAGCCCGAGGGCAGAGCTGTACCCCTGGCAAGGGTCGGCTCCAGCTTATATACCAGTAAAGATTCAAGCTCCACTCACGGAGGACCTGTAGATTAACCAGTGAGAGGCGTATTAGTCTGGAGAGTAACCTCCATAGTGTATCGGGTGTGAGGGGCCATTAACCTCTGTGTTAAGTGTTAACTGTTAAATAAAACTGTGTTGCCTCAGAGAAGTTCCCTTCGTTATTCAACCCACTACACAAGTATTAACAGATGCTGTATTTTGTGCTGTGTTTTTCCATCAGTTTTACCTCATTCAATTCATTAAATACGTATGAACCTGATGGTCTGGCTCCGCCCTCGGCCATGCTCCCTTCTGGAAGCTACCAGAATGTTCTGGGCTTCGCCCCATGTGTCCCCTCTGTCACCTTTACCCTACATCCCTCACCCCGGCCTATCATGTGCCTTGCTGGCAGACCAGCTGCTGTGTCCTCAGATCCCCCCTCTCTGCCAGCAACTGGCGATCCGTGCTCCAGTGGCACATTTCACCTGCTGTGCTGGTAGACCGGGCTACTACACCCACAATCCCGCTCTCTACCAGTAACGGGCCATCCATTTAGTACGTACGCAAAAATCTGTCAAAACTTGACCCCTCCCCCCCTCCCTGTACGCACGCGTACTTTTTACACCCCCCCCCCCCACCTGCGTACATACGCTTGACGCACCCCCCCCACCCCCGAATCCTATAGAACTGCCGATATTTAATCCACGCAGAAATTATCAAGGATTAATAATATTCATGTGTCTAAGCAAACAGATAGTCCACCGCCGGACTATCTAACTAATTTGAAGGCCA